TATTATACTTGTTTGTGATTTTCTTAAAAAAATTTTTTTTAACGCTTACCTGTGTAGTTTTTCAGGCCCCATTTTGGCAGGTAAAAAGAATAGGTGCACCATCCCTCCAACAGGCAGTCATAGAAGGTGATGATCACGGGTGTTTCCTTCCAAGTTGGGGGTGCACCTGTTGAGAGGCAAGGAGCCAACAGTGTGATCAAATAAGCCAGATCTATAAAACGATGTGCACGCAAAACTCAAGTTCTGAAACAAGACTGTACCATAAGTGGGTTTTTAAAGGGGTAGAAAATTGTAGGCAAGAGAAAAAGTTTTCAAGAATGAACAAACAGTTTATGTTAGTTTTAAAAATCGATCACAATAAACAAACAAAGGACGTTGCTGCGATGAGCCTTCATCAGCACATAACGAACAACACAGTACACATACACAAATATGCTCTAACTATGAAATGACTACATAGGACTCTAATGTACAAAATAAATGATTCTCATCTGTGTCCCTGGCGAAAAACTTGGTTCAAGAGGATGACCGGGACAGCTACTAGCCTATTTATCACCAAAGCGCGGGCGGGGAGCGAAAAAAGGGGTTAGTATGACAGCATACAACAGTGGGTAAGCAACCGTAAGTTTCCACTGGAGTTTATTCTGCGAATGTGCAGGAGTAGGAGGAGAAAAGACAAGAATCTACTCGCCTCCCCCTAACCAGAATGTCACAAAAGGCAACTAATTAGGATTTTGCTGAAATCAGAAGTGCACATATCACAGCCTAACTGTCAACCACAACATAATATTTGAGCCGCCCTTTTAAGGGCATACACAGCAGAAGAAGATGTTTTTTTTGTTGATCTAGTGTTTCTTGAATGAGATTTCCAGTCCAAGCTATACTCTTAATCGCCTCTTATGGCATGAGTTATGAGTTAGATTATCTTCACAGCACTCTAAACACATCCATAGGCGCTCAGATTCCCCTCTCAACATATTCATCAGCGTTGCGCTGGTAACAGTGCCAGTCCTATGTTTTTTAATAAGACTTTGTGTGCGTCTGGTGTGCTTCTCATGCTTGGCTGTGTCGATCTTTACTGCCAGTTCTTGTATTCTTAGCAGTGATATAGACACATTGCTTCCAAAATGCTTAGAATGTCCTATCTCTCTAAGGGCAATGACTGTGTCTGCGTGATCCATGGGCCAGCCATCTTCAGTTAATGCAACACCTGTCAGTCTATCAGCTCTCTCATTACCAACAACGACTGCATTCCCTGGGATGAATATGAAGGTAACTGCACACAGAGGAAAGTTTTGCAATGACTCAAACTACTGTCTACGTAACCAGCCTGCCTCGACCCGCCGGATCATGCTCAAGGAATCACTCAGCACACACACGCAGGAATAGTCCTGTGATTCTAGCCAGATGAAAGTTTGTGTCACCGACATCACCTCCATAGTCATACTGCTGGTAGTCATGGAGAAGGCACCGCTGGCTTCTTGAACTATTCTGCCTGTAAATGCCCATGCACTCTTATGTCCCCGTATAACGGAGCTCTTATGGCATGTCTGGTGGGGTGGAAAAAGCTAAAGGACTGATTTCACGCCAGTGGCACAGTGGGCATATGATACTAGAATCCTATTTTTAGAAACTAAATCGGCCCTCGATGTGTAATACCAACATCGTGCCATTTGCCTTTACTTCCCAGAACTTTACCTGGTGCCCATTTTAGGCCGGGTCAGCTTGGAATCTGATTGGAGGTGGAGCATCAAGCCGCTACGCCACCACTGCACGCAGTGGTAGGGTGCCCCTGTGTAGCTATTCTGTACTTATTAAAGGCCCCCCAATAACACACAGCAACACATCTTATATTATTTGGGAAGGTCTGATTTGCACTGTGAAATTCAGTCGATGCTTGTGTTTCATTTGAGTTTCATTATAATTTTACAATCAAAAATCAGTTGTGGATCAGAGGATCCCACAGAGGGAATATGCACCAAGTGTGGACCAGTTGCGAACAATTATCATGTTTGAGAACGCATCCAAGTTTCTGGAGCTGAAGAATTTGAGACAAGAAGTTCAAGAGCAAAAGGTTTGTTGGGGTTGTTTACTAGTTAATGCATATTCTCTTTCCATCTGCCAAGAATATATATATATATATATATATATATATATATATATATATATATATATATATATATATATATATATATATATATATATATATATATATATATATATATACACCACACACACATACCTGCCAGTAATTTGTCTCCATCTCCTAATAATATTTCTCTTTGTCTTCCCCTCTGCCACTAAAGTTATCTCTCTGTTTTGCCTGTTTTTCTCTGTTCTCTGTGTCTAGTAAATGTGTGTATCTCTGCAATGAATCTTGCTGCCACGATTCAGCTTTATATGATTACTGCAACATAGCTACTTGTTCTGCTCTAACGTCTAGGATTGATGACACAAACGACTCTCAGTTCCTTTATACATTTCTGTCAGTTTATTCTATTAGATTCTTCCACAATCTTCCAACAGTTATTCCACATCCACGAATTGCTCGAGCAGCCCCAAGTATCTTGTGCGGTTGCTTGTCGCACAGACTTTCTGCTTGCCACACTGTACGCGTGGAGACCATGCAAAGCACCTCATCACATCCTCTCCCCTTCTTAACAAAATGATACTTGATGGAACATCAAGTATCATTTTCCATTTAACTGAATATCATATCATAAATCAATCAAAGTAACTTAATTCTACTTGAACTACTAGGGATTACCATTCCTAATTCCCCTAATTACTGCCCTTGGTTTTGAATTTTACTGCATGCTTTTTGGAGTGCTAAACTGGTGAAGAGTAAATAATAATCTTTGCACCTATTGCATCTGTATTGTTTAGTCACTATATCTACTCTGTTAGGTTTAAAGTGAAATGATAGTGATGATGATGGTCAGCTTTGAGATATTTACTCCAAAGAAAATTGGATTTAACCAATATTTCTATATTACCTTTAACAGGGTATTTAGCCCTGAGGACTCTCAATGCAATGATAGGAGTGCGATATGGTTTCCCAAAAGCCTCTATAACACCTTTCAAAGGGTGTTTAGCCCCAAGGAATCTACTATAGAAAAAAATGCATGTTTGGATATTTTTCCAGAGACTTAGTCTACTACACCTTTCACAGGGTACTTAACACAACCCCAAGGAATCCAACATGAAATTAATTAAAGTTGAGATATATATTTCCATAGATCTACTCCCAAGCCTGTCACACCTTTAACAGGGTAGTTAACCCCAAGGAATCTCAGATGGCAGTGGCTACTGGGATGTTGTTAAGTTTTCTTCGATGTCCTGAGGCCACATTCTAATAGATAAATCAGATATTAACTTGCTAATATATCAAAATGTTTAGCTTTTTTGAATTCAATCTTGATGTATCCAAAATTCAGTCATAAATGTATTGTCTTACTTTGCTATGTCCAAAACTGCCATGTTTTGATGTTTACGTCTTTCTTCAATGGGCCGTGTGCAAAGTAAGCCGCTGGCTTGATATGAGGTTCTGTCAAGGATAGGTGTTTCTTTTGCGGATCATCGTGGACATGAGTTATTTTGTCCAATTATAAAATGTTTTTCAACTGAAACGCCACTCGGATTCCAATAAACATTCTGCCAGTTTATTTCTTCTATTACATCTCAATTACTCAATCGCAATCATCGCTGTTCACTTCCACTAATACGACACAATACTCATTTACTCAACGTTGACTACATTTAATTAAAACTACAGTAACGACATCACAACTGTCTTCTTCTGACTCTGGTACCCAACTGACCACGAGTCCAGCTCGGGCTTTCCCGCACTTACTCAACCAGCCCCTTATATCTTGTGCGGTCGCTTGTCACGCGTGGAAACCATGCAAAGCACCTCATCACATCTCTTTATAACCCTCTCATCTCCCCCTTCCCCATCTTTCTGTCTCAAATTCACATATACACACAAAACCCCACTAGAATACTCAGAGTAATCATTGTAACTTTTTCTATCACTAGAGGGTAATCATTTTTGTTACTTTAATATTGCAGGGAAAAATTAGTGATCTCGAAAAGGATGCCTCCCAGCTTCAGGCAGAAATAAAAAAGGTGCAGCTTCTGCTTGAAAATGAAAGTATCAAGTCAGAAGTTATGAAATCAACAGCCAATCAGGCAATCCTGGCCAGGCACAAAGTGGAAGAGGAATTGGGACAACTGCGCAAACAACTGGGAAAGGTAAGCAGACTGTTGCAGTTGAAAGGTGGCACAGTAATTTGATGATCCTTTCTTTTTCTTTTACAGTGTTTCTGTTGGGCTTTACTCCTGTTTGGCTTGAAGTCATTGCACTCCGGTCATGCTCACCAATTTGTAGTCATCACTTGATTTATTCTTTCGGAAGGCATTCAGTATAATGCCCTGGTCCATTGCTCACCTGCTCCTCATGTGGGGTCTGAGGCCCCTTGGTTAGGGGGTGGGAGAAAAGACACTGTCTCACTAACAAGCGTTTCATAACAAGTGACTAACTAGGGCTATTTCCTTTTAAGTCCAAGTGCATCTGATGAGAGGAGAGGAACCAAGAGTCTGCATACAAATAGGTCACATTTGTAGCAAAACTATATTTCTGGAACAAGACCAAAGTCCAGAAGTGGATGAACAACAAGAATTTCTACCAGAGTTTACAGCTGGGGATGGCTAAGAAGAAAAAAAGAGCTTATCAACTTTCCTTGTTCTCAATGGTGATCCACTGACCTTTGACCTTTGTGTGTTAGTTTTGTTACAGAAGACCCCAAATTAGCAGGACTGCTCCCCCCATGTGGGTTCGGGAGGCCCCATTGTGGGTTCGGGGGGCCCCATTGTGGGGGAAACAAGAATGAGCCACTGCCTGCCTAAAAGCATGTCATAAGAGTGGTTAGTTAAGAGCTTCCTCCAGAGTCAGAGTACATCTGCCTGTGAGACTAGGAACTAACAGTCTGCATGCAGATGAGTCCGATCTGTGAAACATATATGCATGCAACACTCAGTTTCTGGAACGGGGCTAGAGTCCAGAAGTGGACAAACAACCAGAACCTTGCGCCGGAGTTTATAGCTGGTGTACGGGAAGATGAAGAAGAAGAAGCTGGACAGCAGATTTTCAGACTGATTTCTGTTATTTTGTCTTTTGAAATCGTATCTGTCCAGACCAATTTACTACTTTCCACCTGTACTAAGTATGTTGCAATTTCTGTCTGTGAGAGCAGTGATCATACTGGGCTAGCTATCCATGCCAGCCAGCCAGCCAGCCCAACAGCCTATCTGTTGCCCATTACCCCTGCATTCTTTGAGACATGAAAATGTATGTTTCTCATGAAAATTGGGAGCCACTAGTGCAGAGTCTTGATGCTTGCTGGTGGCCCAAAGCCTTGGGTTTGAATCTGCATCTGGTTGGATAGAATTTGATTTTAACAGATCATGACTCCTAAACTGACCGCCTTAAGTGAGTGCCAGAAAATGTTCTCAGAAGTAAAGATGGCCTCTGTGATGTTGGCCATGTGACTCGCTGAGTGCCGATTAGTCTGTGCAAAAAAATTAAGTCTAGCACCATATGCCTGATGGGCCGCTGACTAACTTTCAACTTCTTTCAATACACTCTCTTTTTTTATATATATATATATCTATATAAAATGTGACTTGAAAGGGGCCTTTTTTTGTGTATGTTACTTTTAAGATGCAAGCCTAAATTTTTTTGTGTATGTTACTTTTAAGATGCAAGCCAAAATTTTTTTGTGAATGTTACTTTTAAGATGCAAGCCAAAATTTTTTTGTGTATGTTACTTTTAAGATGCAAGCCAAAATTTTTTTGTGTATGTTACTTTTAAGATGCAAGCCAAAATTTTTTTGTGTATGTTACTTTTAAGATGCAAGCCTAAATTTTTTTGTGTATGTTACTTTTAAGATGCAAGCCTAAATTTTTTTGTGTATGTTACTTTTAAGATGCAAGCCTAAATTTTTTTGTGTATGTTACTTTTAAGATGCAAGCCTAAATTCTTTTGTGTATGTTACTTTTAAGATGCAAGCCAAAATTTTTTTGTGTATGTTACTTTTAAGATGCAAGCCTAAATTTTTTTGTGTATGTTACTTTTAAGATGCAAGCCTAAATTTTTTTGTGTATGTTACTTTTAAGATGCAAGCCTAAATTTTTTTGTGTATGTTACTTTTAAGATGCAAGCCTACATTTTTTTGTGTATGTTACTTTTAAGATGCAAGCCTAAATTTTTTTGTGTATGTTACTTTTAAGATGCAAGCCTAAATTTTTTTGTGTATGTTACTTTTAAGATGCAAGCCTAAATTTTTTTTGCAGGGTTCTAAAAACTGCCTAGAGGAGACTCCTGATGAAATAAAAAAGCTGCCAGAAAAAGACCAGCTCATCGACCAGCTGAGCAAGTCACTCGACCGCAGGAACATCAGATTGAATGCTATGGTCCTGAAGATAGAGCAGTTTATAGAAGAGAACCATGGCCTGCAGAAGTTAGTGGCCCAACATCAACAACAGGTGGCAGATCTGTTGAAGGAGAATTCAGAGCTGAAGGTGAGAATATTTTTTTTTTTTTTTAACTTTAACAGCTGATGATTATATTTAATAAAGTAATTTTGCCCGGCTCTCCTAGTGCAGCTGGTTAAAACCCTCTGGGAGGCGACCGGTGACGAACTCCTTGTGGTCTGGGTTCACACCCGGGGGGTAGGCAGAAAAGGCGCATTTATCCCAGATTTACGGTATCTTTCATGGACTGATGAATGACAAGCTGGATGTTGTTAGGGCTCTATGGGAGCCATTGAACAGAGCGGAGGCACAGATAGATCATTATGGTCTGGGAGAATGGCGCTGCGAGGAGCTACAAAGGGATCTGGCTGGCGGTCCACACTCAGGGCAAAGGCGAGATGGAAATACAATCAGACAGTTACTGGTGCCATCAGAATTGGAACTTCGCTTGCTGCTGAAGATGGAGACAGGGCACTTATGGGGGTGTCATGAGTGCTGTGATGTCAATTCTCAATTCAACATTGAACATTCAAGTTAATTTCTTCTTCTTTTTTTTGTGTTCACTGGAGTGCAACTACTACTGCAAGAACATATCTATGGTATCATTTTGACTATCCTTTCTATTTTTAACCTCTCTACATGAAACACAATTTCTCATCATCATCATCATCATCATCGTGTAGCAGGTTTTTGTCACTCTCATCACAGCCTGCCTGAAACAAACTCAGTCTCTCACCAGCTCTCCCACCCGATGTACTTTTCTACCCCAGGTGTCACTTATATGCTGTGCCCATCTTTGTGATGGTCCACCCCTGCCCCTCTTTCCTGGTACCGTGCCATCTGCTGTTACTTTTTTCCCACTGCCTAATATGGCCAAAGTGTTTCGGTTTCCTGGAAGAGATGCTGTTTACTAGAGTCAGTTTCTTGATGCTCACATCTTGTGTGTGTGTGTTTGTATGTCAGTATTTTGTTTCTTCTTAGTTCATGGTAATCTGAGAATCTTATATTGCCTTTTAGCTCAAAAGCCCCCAAAACACAATTTTTATGACTAATAAATATGTTTTTAGAAATATCCTTCTGTAAGTGACAGGCATCTGAAATATCCTTCTGTAATTGACAGGCATCTGAAATATCTTTCTGTAATTGACAGGCATCTGAAATATCCTTCTGTAATTGACAGGCATCTGAAATATCCTTCTGTAATTGACAGGCATCTGAAATATCCTTCTGTAATTGACAGGCATCTGAAATATCCTTCTGTAATTGACAGGCATTTGAAATATCCTTCTGTAATTGACAGGCATCTGAAATATCCTTCTGTAATTGACAGGCATCTGAAATATCCTTCTGTAATTGACAGGCATCTGAAATATCCTTCTGTAATTGACAGGCATCTGTAGAGAGACTTGAGACCCACCAGCAGACCGTGAAGCAGCAGCAGAGTCAGACCAGCAATGTGTCAACACAGACAGAGAGCAACCACCTCACACAGCAACCTCAAGCGACGCCGGCAGTCAGTGCTCCTAACTACATACCTGGAGGAGTTGTGGAAAGCTTCGTCATTGCTGTCAAAGACCGCGAAATTCTAGACTTCAAAAGAAAGCTCGAAAAGCAGACGGTAGGAAATATGACATACCATAATTTTGTGTGTGTATGAGGCTGTATGTTTTAGCAAATCTTTTTAGTTTAAAATTGGGGTTGTCTTATGCACAGAACGTTTTTAAAATATTTATTTCTTAATGTGGGGCTTAAAAAAATAAGAGGCGCTTTATACGCAGAATAATTTGGTAAATATCTTTTTGTCCTCCATATCCTCTGTTTTTAGTTGGATACTCTCAGATGAAAGATACTGCCATAAATCACTAAGCATAGGGCACTTCATTTATATTAGATCATGGTATACTGATATAGCAGCAGCCTCTGCCAACTCAGGCATTCAGTGTTTCCACACATAATGGTGTTCTGGGGGATGCTGAGTTATCTGTGTTAGCTGATGCACCAGGACCAAGTCTCATACAGGCCTTGAGGCATGTAGATAGGTCATGACCTATTTCTATCTCTGGTCATGACCTATCTACATCTCTGGTCATGACCCACCTACATCTCTGGTCATGACCCACCTACATCTCTGGTCATGACCCACCTACATCTCTAGTCATGACCTATCGACATCTCTTGTCATGACCTATCTACATCTCTGGTCATGACCCACCTACATCTCTAGTCATGACCTATCGACATCTCTTGTCATGACCTATCGACATCTCTTGTCATGACCTATCTACATCTCTGGTCATGACCCACCGACATCTCTAGTCATGACCTATCGACATCTCTTGTCATGACCTATCTACATCTCTGGTCATGACCTATATACATCTCTGGTCATGACCTATATACATCTCTGGTCATGACCTATCTACATCTCTGGTCATGACCTATCTACATCTCTGGTCATGACCCACCTATATCTCTGGTCATGACCTATTTCTATCTCTGGTCATGACCTATCTACATCTCTGGTCATGACCCACCTACATCTCTGGTCATGACCCACCTACATCTCTTGTCATGACCTATCTACATCTCTGGTCATGACTTATCTACGTCTCTGGTCATGACCTATCTACGTCTCTGGTCAAGACCTATCTACATCTCTGGTCATGACCTATCTACAATACATCTCTGGTCATGACCCACCTACATCTCTGGTCATGACCCATCTACATCTCTGGTCATGACCTATCTGCATCGCTGGTCATGACCTATACATCTCTGGTCATGACCCACCTACATCTCTGGTCATGACCCACCTACATCTCTGGTCATGACCTATCTACATCTCTGTGGTCTTTCTAGAAACAGGCTCCTAAATGGAAGCCGGGCCAACGTAGATACGGTCAGTATTTCCTTTGAAGTCAGTTTTCACTTAAATAAGCCAGATCTGCTAAATGAATGTGCATGCAAAACTTAAGTCTCGTAACAAGACTAAAGTCCACAAGTTTTACTGCCAAAATTAAGAGCCACCGGGGAAAGTGATGAAAAAAAATGATCTGGAATTGCATGAAACAACACGATAAACAAACTGACATTTACTGACTGACTCTCACAGATGAAAAAAAAAAAAAGACACACTAGACAACATTAAAATTAAAAGCTATTGTTACTTCTTTCCTTTGCATCTATGAATGTCATTCATTTGCCCAGTGCACTAGCTAAGTTGGTTAAACCCGCTGCGTGGTGACCGGGTGACAGTCTCCTTGTGTTCTGAGTTCATGCTCGTGTGTACGCAGAAAGACCACATATTTCCCAGATTTACGGTATCTATCACAGAATCAAGGCTGAAGGGTTGCGATATCCATAGTACCGAGCCAAAGGGTTTACAACTCATGGTTTGTGGATGGAAAAAAAAATGAAAGTCATTTAGTTTGTTTAACATGTCATCAAGGATAGAGAAATTAAAGACATCATGAAATATATTTAAGGTTGTGAAAAACCCGGAGAAATAACAATGGCTAAATACTACACATATTTTAAAGTCTTTTTTTTCTCTCCTGTCTCTGTGTGCTTAGTTGGCTGTGATCAGAATACAGTAAAATATTTTTTACACAAATTTGCTTAAGAAGAAAACTTGGGTAACATGAATACAAATGTTGGTCCTGACAAGGATGTTTTAGGAACAAAAAAAATGTTCATTTTACCTTTTTCGCCCAAGAAATAGAGTGACTTCCCTTGACATTTATGCCTCATCTGGTTGCATGACCTTTCCTGTGTTGGGGGGGGGGTGTGTTATGCTGTGGCTTGGTTTGGCGTTCACTCAGCGTAAAGAATGTTTGTTGGAGGATGTGTTGTTGTGAGTCTATTTCAGGCGCTCCAGGCGTGATGATTCTTGAGTGTCGAAACTGGGTTGTTTTTGTATTTCTGTGTTCGTGAAACAACCCCACCCAACCCCTGAGAGACACACACACACACAAACACAAGGGAGGTAGGAATGTAAAAATATTGCTGTTTTCATACCTCTGAACTGTCTCACAGGTAGCAGAACGTGAAAATAATCATCCAAGCTAGCGGTGAGAAGATGAGAAAAGAGTAAACTGTTGAAGCGCTGACAATAAGGAAAACATGACACCCCTTCAATGTAGGAAAGGTCCTGCGACACGATAAGGCATTAATGGCAAGGGAAGTCACTCTCTTTCTGGGCCGGAAAATGTATAATGAACCCAGAATAAAATTCTTTTGAACACACATTTGATGCTCGGCCCCTGAAATTCATATAAGCAAGGTTCTACTGTAAACACATTGCCATAGAAAATAAAACTAGGGGATGTTTGTAGCGGATCTTGAATCATGGGATAAACCTGGGAATATTTGCTTGGGGCATCAGGGTTGTGAAAAACTCAAGAAATGGGGATTTAAACAAAACATTTACTAAGCTAAACATCTTGAAATTTAACCACATGGTTCAAATTTTCAGCATAGAGTTTTCTTTCTTTGTCAAGGGGAGGGGGGAATCCTAACGTATACAGTTCATAGGAGCTGCACTGGTTATGTAGACCTAAATCCTCTGGCTCAAGGACACGACTTTACTCCTTTTTTTCATCTTACATCACATAACAGATAGTAACTACAAGTGGTAAAGACATTTCAGCATTTTGATTTCTCTAACCAACAGGCAAAAATCACAGACCTTGAGAAAGATAAGTCACAACTCCAGACAGAACTCCAAAAACTGCAGCTTATTTTTGACAGCAAAACAAGGAAATCAACAGCCAGTCAGACAGTCCTGGACAAGCGCAGAGATGACGAAGAGTTAGTGATGCAGAACATACAGCCCAGAAAGGTGAGAAGATTGTCAGAAACAATAAGGGCAGCACTCTAAGCCAGGTTTTTTTTTCTTCAAAATATGACTTTGGCTCCCAGGTTGACCCAGCCGGGTACCGTGTAAAGTCCTGGAAAGTAAAGGCGGCCGGCATCATGTTGACCACATCCTGTGCTGATTGTTCTATAAAATATAGGTCCAGCCCTATGTACCCAATAAGGTGTGGAAAATGGTCCTTTACTTTTTACTTTTTTTTTTAAATTATTTTTAAATTATTTTATTCAACTCTAATTTGATATGTCATTAGTTAGGCCAGTTGGTTAGTTGCGTATCCTTTACAGGACGTTGCAGAACCAACTCAAGCAGCCCCTGGCTGTTGTGTGGTTTCTCTAGGCAAATTTACGTCCAGTAGTTTGCCATTGCTTTATGGATTGTCGACTTCTTGATACCACTGTCGAAACCAATGCAGGCTGGGATCAAACACGGCACCCCGGCATTACGAAGCGTTCGCATCGACTTAGCCACAGAGCCGACGAGTTAGGTCAGTGGGGTATTAAAAATGTACATACTTTTGTCACTTGCAGTGACTCTGTAGAAGTATTGGTTTGTCTTGTCAATTCATTCTGTCCATCTATCTAGTTTTCTCAGTATCTGTCTATATCTGACCTTCCACCTGTTCATATGTCTGTCTTTCCTTATGTGTGTCTCCGTTTTACAGATCTTGCTGATATGTATGAAGACTGTTGATTCCTTGCCTCTCTCAGGCAGATACTCTCTGACTTTGAAATAAGTCCCCAATTAGTCAAATCCTATGACATGTTTGTTGGGGAGGAGGTGGGTCTGATCTTGTTTTCCCCCACAATGGGACCTTGAAACCCACATGGGGTGGAAGTGTTAATTAGAACCTGTGGTAAATGCTTGTGATGCGTGGAGTCTTGCTGAAAAATGTGGGTATGTAGTTTTTAAGAGAAAGTTTTTCTGTGTGGGATCCGGGGTCCCATTGTGGGGAAAACGAGAATAGACCCACTGCCTCCCCAACAAACGTGTCACAGGAGTCGACTGATTGGGGATTACCTTCGAAGTCGGAGTACATCTGCCCGAGCGGGAAGGAACAACCAATGCAAAACTCAGGTCTTCGCCCAAAGCCAAAGTCTAAATGGATGACCAGCCAGGACTTTCCACTGGAGTTTACAGCCGGTGAACAAAGAAGAATAAGAGAAAGTAAAGAATATCATGGAATAATAGACAAACATCATCAGGCAGTCATCCTTGAGACATGAAACCTGTAAACAGATTAGAGAAGTTAAACATCAGCTACCCATTTTTTTTTTTAAAGGAAGGGGGGGGGGGGGTGGAGACATATGAAGGAATGGACTTGATAACTGGCAGGATTGATTGGGAAGAGAACAAGGGGAGGGCAAAGAGATAAATACCCGAATGGCTTAACCAGATAGATTTGGCGAGACAAGAGCACTTTACTAGAGATAGCGAACACATGACTGCCAGTGCATATTGGCGCAGCACATGATAATGATAAATCACACCTGAAGTGCGCACTAAGTCGGCATAGTCAACTGGGACAGTCTGTTTATCTGATTTTCTCCCATTTAAAAGACATTGTGTAGCATTCCTGTAGTCAGTAGGGAAATAATATGCTTTGAATTTTTACTATCCCCATTTTGGTTCTGAGGTTCGTTGGGTGGGGGTGGAGGGGCACTGAATAGACCAACTACCCCCAACAAGCATGTTGTAAGATTTAACTTATTAGGGGTGTTTTGTTAAAAGTCAGAGTACATAGTTTAAGAGGTGAGGAACCAACAGTTTGCATACAAATAAGTCAGAGCTGTAAAATGTATGTGCACACAAAACACAGATCCTGGAACTAGTCCAAGAAGTGGATGAACAACCAGAACTTTCTGCCAGAGTTTACAGCCATTTTCAAAATGAACTGTTTGCATTTTTTTTGTTTGTTCAGTGTGGGGTGGGAGTTTAATTGTGAAGGATTAAATTTTTTTTAAAGGTATTTAAAAAAAAAAACTCAGAGGAATCGACTTTGCTGCACTCGGTTTTATCCCATCTGGCTTAGACTCTGCCAAATTGTCAGCCATCTGCCAAGAACATTACACAAAGCACTAACTCCTTAGCTAAAATGATGATTCTCATAGATCTGCATAAAACTGAACCAAACAATGCAATCCTTTGAAATGAACCCATTGTCTTCAGAGAGCCTTGTAAATGGCTTAGCTCCTGAAATGTGTTTTTCAAGGAATCTGTTTATCTTCTGTTATTGATTTTGAATTGGTTTCTTTTCAGTTTTTGTTTCGGGTATGAACTGTAGTCTTCTACAGTTCTTACAGGCTTAGGTAGAGCTAGACATCCAGGGTTATTTCATTCTTTTTCACAATTTGTATTTGATTGCAGTGTTCTTCGGTTTTGTGTCATGCTTTCCCATATGAACTTACCTCTGAACTCATTAGCCGTTCTGCAGGGAGAGACTGATCAACAAAGTCAGTCCTCATGACTTTAACTTATTGCTGTAGAATCTGTTTTTAAGCTGTGTGCACATATAGCTACATCTGCAGGAGCTAAATGGCTAGAGCAGGGGTTCTCAACCTTCCTAATGCAGCGACCCTTTATTACAGCTCCTCATGTTGTGGCGACCCCCAAACATACAATTATTTTCGTTGCTACTTCATAACTTCAGTGAATATGTGTTTTCCTTTGGTCATATGTGACACCTGTTAAAGGGTCATTAGACACACAAAAAGGCGTCGCGACCCATAGGTTGAGAACGGCTGGGATAGAGGCTTGTATGCCAGACCAAAAAGTGTTTGCTGTCAATGCACACTGGCAGGTGTATCAAGTACCTTGATATGGCTGGTCCTTAGAAGGACTGAGCACTCATGAGAATGCCCGGTGCGGTGTTCAGTGATACTGATGTGGTAAATTTGGTAGGAAAACGGATGTACATGCGGAACTCAGGTCCTGGCACAAAGCCAAAGCCCAAATGGATGAACAAACAGGACTTTCCACCAGAGCTTACAGCTGGTGAACAAAGAAGTTACATTATTTCTAATCTTCTTGTAACCTGTCAGGGGGCCAGTAGCCATTATGAAAGATATCATGCAGTTTGAATTTCCCTGTTTGCCATACAGCTTTATCTTCATTGAGGTTTGAATAGGCCAGATTGCTTCTCTGTTAGTAGCATACAGTTTACAGTTTTGGAGCACATGCTCAGCATTTTCTGGTGTCAAGTTGCAGGGACACATCTCCATGTTTCCTACATGAAAAAAATGTTAATGTATTTTGGCAAAGTCTGTTGCGCGCTGTCCTTAGTCTCATTGTTACATTCTAGAAAGGCCAGAAAGTGAGCCTTGAGGAGAGAATTTGGTGTGGGTATGCAGCCACCTTTCCTGGATACTAGATTGTATTAATACCTGAGTCTCTTAATAGGTGTAGTCATTAGTCACTATTTGATTGCACCATGTCCGTTAAAGCGTACATTTGTTTTCATAGGAGGCCAGGCAGAGTACAGAAGTCACCCCTGTTGAAGTGACAGATATGCTGAGAAACCAGCAGGAAGGGAAACCCCAGTCATTTGACCAGCTAATGGAGTCAGTCCACGGGAGGTACCGGAATGTGGAGAAACCAAGACGAAGCTTACAGACGATATCAGTTGCAGAGCCTCAGAATGAAAGCACCAGCTTTTCAAGGTGGAATGCCATTCAAGAGAATGAGAAAAAGCTGAAAGACAAGCAAGCTCAAACGGGAAACCTGTCAGAGAATTCACAGTTGAAGGTAAAGAAATATTTTACAGTAACTCATATGTTTGATCAAGTAATCTCTGTTCAGGTATTCCTGTAGCGTTCATAGATGAGCAACCCTTGAAAACCGGAGAGAGGAAAAAACATTAAAATTAATGCATTGACAAAATCAGAAAGATTCAAGAGGAAAATTTTAAACATTAGGTTTTTGATTATTCTTGTGGCTTTCTTAAAACCAGCAACCCTTGAAAATTTTAAAGACCTTGAAATGTATGCCTTGGCAAAATCATAAAGATTTAAGAGAGAAATCTTAAACATTAATTTTTTTGTTATTGTGGATATTCTTGTGTAATTTCTTTTTTAACAAAGAAGACTATAAACCATACACTGCACAATTTATTGCCTGGCATATTTCGCTGTATCCCGTCAGGTGCAAACAACAGTAACAATTACATAAATTTATCATATAAGCAAATCCTTCAAAACTGAAGTAAAAATTCAACAACGATCACACATAACTGCTTGTTTTACCAGGACAGCCGTGAAGTCAGAACCATATCTTTCTGTATACAGAGTTCCGGGCACAGGTGACGAATCGCAGAAGCTTCCAGAAATCTTAGCCCTCTGCCATTAGTTGGCATATAAAGGATTTGAAATGCATTGTCCTTAGTTACCACGTGTCCAGATTTTAGAAGATGGCGTGCTATTGCGGAGGGATGATCTTTGCAGCCAGTATTCTGATACCGGAATGTGCTGAGCGACTCGTTTCTCCAGGCATCGGTCAGTTCTGCCCACACAAACAGCTTCTCAGCTACATTAAAATTGGTAGATACAATTTGATCTGGCATACATCGACACTGGTTGTTTCACCGAGGGCTTTGGCACAGGGGTCGTTTTAAACCTGATAATAGGCAAAGCAGCATAGAAAGTTTGGCTGACTCCTGTTTTGAGCCGGTCGTATAGCCGTTTCATAAAGTCATCTCCTCGAAAAGCTAGATGGATGTAGACTTGTTGTTTGGGGACTGACGTTAGTTGGTTTAGGAGGCTGGCAGTGGCGCTTAATAAATCCAACTGGGTATCCATTCAATAATGTTTGTTTGAGAGTTTCTAGTTCAGACTGTATCGTATCACTGGAGCAAATCTTTCTAGCGCCGTTGCCATACTAGGCCACGTTTTTACTGGATGGGTGCACAACTATTAAAGTTCATGTACTGGCCCATCCAAGTATCTTTCCTATATCCTGATCTTTGAATGATGCCATTTTCCCTTCGTCAAATCATCATCATGTAGCAGGTCCTTTGCAGAATGACGCTCTCATCACAGTCTGCCTGTAAGAAACTCGGTCTCTTGCCAGTTCTCCCGCCTCATGAACTTTCACACTCAAGAAGTCACTTATATCCTGTACCCATCTTGGTGTCGGTCGGTCCCTACCTCTCCTTCCTGGTACCATGCCTTCTGCTATAATTTTTTCCAATCCGTCGTGTCGCATAATCATTACGTCTAAAAAGGCGATTGTGTTATTACATTCATGTTGTAGGGACAGTGAGAAGTTTTTGTGTGCCCAGTTAGTCTGTGTGTATACTAATTCTGCTTATCAGTGGCAACAATAAGAATACCATCGACATAATGTTTGTAACACACCAAGTTATCAATGTCCAGAGATTTTCTCTTCTAAGTGTGCCATAAAGATGTCTGCCAGGATAGGATCGGGCTTCCCATGGCCACTCTGTCAATCTGGGGGGTAGGACTGCTTGAGGAAATTGAACTTGATGTTAGATGTGCATAATAACAACTGTGTCTCCAGTTTTGAGGCAGGCAGATCCATGTAATTTTTACTGTTCTGTAGTCTGCACCTGATGAGATACAGCGAAATATGCCAGGCAGTAAATTGCCCAATCCATTGTTTGTGTCTTCTTCGTTCAAATTTACAACGGGGAAACATCACTTTGATGTTGTTTTTTTGTTTCCTGGTCAGTGCCATATGCTGTTGATCACCATGCCTGCCCACAACCTTCTGTCTTGGTTACTGCCAGTAATTTTTTATGTAGATATCCTTTCATGCTAAACTGCCCAACATCTTCTCTCTTGGCCTCTCCCTACCTTTCTTCCTCTTCAACTATTCTGTTGCCCTGATGTAATGTACTTCAGTTTTGCTCTTCCATTAGTGTGTTCAGGAAAGGTTGATCATCAGCTTCTGGTGTAGGTAAGCAGTTCACTTTGTGAGTTCATTTCTTCTTCTTTTTTAGTGTTCACTTTCTGTAATATTTAACAGTCTTATGAATGTAAGCATATAGTGGTGACATTGCTATTTTTATGTATCTATATAATATTGTACCTATTCAGAAATCTGACGAGAACACCAACCCAACCTCTCAGATGTGAGGCAGCATGAAAAACGCAGGTGTGTAGATACTAAATAACTTGCTAGTTTGATTCATTAATGTCTACTAACACTGAAATATCTTGCCAGTGTGAGTCATACTTGTCTACTAACTGAAATCTCTTGCTAGTTTGATTTCGGTGGTGTATGGTTAAAAAAAACAACCTCTCTTCTCTCTCTCTCTTTTAGCAGTCGTACAAGAGTCACACCATAGAAGAGATATGGCTGACCACATAGTTTTCCTCAAAGATAGCAGTGGGTACACTGTAACTAACCTTCATTGAGAAGACAGCATGACATTTTGTTATTCTGGCGCCAGAAGATTAGTGACAGCCTTTTGTCATGGCATGGAGGGGTGCCAGCACACAAACTGACACACTCAGTTGCGGATCTCTACTTCTGCCTCTCTTTCCACGGGTCTTTCCAGTGGTTACATGTTCTATTTTTCCTCTTCTCATAACGTGACCAAAAAATGATGACTTGTCTCTTTCTGATGTTTATGATAAGTTGTCTTTCAGCACCTGCCTCTTACAATAAGATAGAAGAAGAGATAGCAGGTACAGACATCATCGCCAGATTTTTTACTGAGCATCGCTGCCATCACAACCCACCTAAAAGTTCTATGCTAGCTCCCCCCCAATTCCTGCACTTCCTGCCCAAAGTATCTGCTGTATCTTGTGTCAAATTTCATGCCGGCCGGCTGACTGGCTAGCTCCTGCATCTCTTTCCTGTTGCCATGTCCTCCATTTTTGCAAGGTCTGATCTAGCGAAATTACTTTACTTTAAAGTAAACCCACATGCCAAAAGAGAGAATTTTATGGCGAGCTCCAGCAAGGGAAGAGTTCCCAGGGAGGACAGAAAAAGCGGTATAAGGACACTCTGAAGACTGCTCTCAATTTTTTTAGCATCAACACAGCGACATGGAAGGCTGCTGCTCAAGACCGTTCTGGATGGTGTACGTCCCTCAGGCATGGTGCATCGGTCTGCCAGGCAGCAGAGGTTGCACAGGCAGAGAAACGGAGGCAGATAGAATCGTACTGCTAATCCCACGCCTACTGCGGCTTCCATCTGTTGTCCACACTGCTCAAGAACTTTCCTGGCTCATATTGGACTAATCAGCCACCTTCAAACTCATAACCATTGATCATTACTACTTTAGATGAAAGTGGTCTTCATCACTGGTGATGGACGAACAACTTTACTTGAAACACCAACAGCGTCGGTTATTTCTGAACACTCAGCAGTGCACTTTATTAGATATTATTTATGGCAGAACACTATAATTAATTAATGCCGATTACAGCAGACGTCAGTTAATTAGTTTTGTTATTAGCTCTGTTGTCTTGCCCGTTGAGCTTTCTGGTCACAGTCTGTGCTGTATTTAGTGCTTCGATGATAAAGACTTTGGTTGAAACATTTGGCTGTGTTTATGTGTATCTTTTCCATTACCTTGGTTGAGTTTCCTAGTCACATATTGTGTTATATTTAGCATTTCTTGCAATCAGGTCGACTGCAGCGCCCCACCCCCATTTAAATCATCCGTCATTTAACCGACTAACTTCTCGCTTTACACTGTCAGTTTTCAACTAGAAAATTCACATTTCATGTTGCCTTTTTCTTAAGGATGTCTATTCTTTTGTTATAAATACCATAAATTTACTTGCTGTTTACTTTCTTACTCTGTAATCGCAAACATTAATACTTTTACCGCTCCTGTATGTTATCCATTGAGTGGTTGGCTTGCTACATGTATCTGCCAAATAACTCTACGTGTTATGTCATCTAGGACAACACTTTTTTGGTTCATTCTAAGAACTGGTTCCTAAAATTGTCATGGATGTTCCTGTGTTTCAAAACTATGCTGCATTTTCATCTATATTTTTATTCTTCTATCCTAATGTTTGAATCAGATTGATTTACTCAGTACCACTTCATGACAATTACCTTCTTTTTGTCAGATTTTGTTTGTTTGCTTATGACAGATTTTGAGAGTAAGAACCAACATCATATCACTTTAAACTTTTCCATAAGCGCTCCGTCCCCATGGTCAGAAGCAAGCACATAATTGAAATTCCTATAGCAACAGTCTGAATGTATGTCCGTTTCACCTCTCCTCTGAGTGTTATGCATCGGCCAGATCTCCTGGTCACTCCTGACTGCTTTGTTCTCTTCAGACGGTAATGATTTGTTTTTGCCTCCACACTGTTCACTCACTCCTAAAGGGCCTTTACAATATCCAGCTGTCATGCGTGTTTACCACTAAGTGGTGTAGAACCAGCCAGTCTATCTGCCTATTCATTTTCCAACACACTGGCTTATCCTGTAAAACATATTCAGTGATAAAGGGTTGAGTCTGCAAAACCTGATTTGTTGTAGTGTTTTTATTTTTATTGTTAATTATGGGGGGGGGGGGGGGGGGTTGTTTGTTGTAATAGTAACTTAAAATAGTTTTTTTTTACCTTCTATTTACTTTCGCAAAGCATTGCCTCAGTTTTGTATCTGATTTCATTTGTAAAGAAAAAGATTATGTTGTTTGTTTTTCTCCTCAGAACAAGTTGTTGATCATCGGCAAACATGTGAACACTAGAAGTGAAATATTAGATACAGCTGTTTTGGACGTTGGATCCCCTTGGCAAGTTGGAGCTTCAACACCCGTTACTTGAGTTATTGTTAATTTGTGGGCAAAGATTTGGCAGCCTCCTCCCCCAGTCTGTCTGCAAATGTAAATGTTGAGAGTTGTTGCTGCACTTAAACCTTCACTTATTTTTGTGCACAGCTATATGTACCCACATGTGTATGCATATCTAATAACATTGATACCAATTCCAATGTGGGACGCAAATATATTTTTGGTGATTTTTTGTAGTTGGAATTTATTAATAATCTAGTCATCTCCTTGTGAGATGCAATTTTTTGTTGTTGGAATTTATTAATAACCTAGTCATCTCCTAATGAGATGCAATTTTTGTGTAATTTTGAAGCTCCACCCTGGCTCTTGCCGGGGACCGCAAAATAGCCCGGTCATAAATATGGTCTAATGGCTAAACTCGGTTTCTTGGACCTCTCCACGGGTGATCCTCATCCACATGGTGGTACTTTGTGTCATCAGGTGTTTATCGCTTGTGTGATGTCCTGGTGGGGTAAAATCTACTACTACTAACTGTTTTGTGTTTAAATTTAAAAACCCCACCCCGGCTATTTTTGAGAGCCCTCAGTGTAACTTACAGGTTGAACTAGTTTTTGGGACTTGCACCCAGATGATTCTCAACCAAATGGTGACATTTTGTGACACCTGGTGTTGGTCGTTTTCCCGTGCAATCCAGGTCGGGTTGGACATCAGGGAGTCAGGCACACTTATATGTGCAGAGCTGTATTTAATGAAAGAAACTTGCTAACCACACACCCTCTCCCATTGCAGCATATGTCTTCTGCTTACACATTGGCCACTGGTTGCCGACTGTCTAGCATCAAATACTTGACGTTCCACTGGGGTTGAAGGAGTCCTTTGCTCACCACATACCCTCTCCCATTGCAGCATAGGTCAGCCGCTCACATATGACCACATTGGCCACTGGGTGCCGACTGTCTAGCATCAAATACCTGACGTTCCACTGGGGTTGAAGGGGTCCTTTGCTACTAACTTGACTGACAGTTTCAGTACGCAGGCTTGCTAACCTCCTTGACTCTCTGTGTCACCAAGAAGATATTCAGCAAAATTTATTTCGTTGTGCTTCCATTTTTCTGACCCACTTACACATTCTATTTAAATATTCGATGTTCGGTATATACTGTTTTTTTTTCTTCTGCATACTTAAGTTGCTAGTAAATTAATAAAAATTAATGTTTCAATAAAATTCGATTATTTAATTTTGTTCCTTTGCCTTAACTCTTTTGATGACTGAATCTGCAAGCATGACTGCAAGAATAGCAACTTAAAAGGGATAAGCTCAGACAAAAATACTAGGCCAGAAGCCAAAGAAGAAAAATAAACCAGCAAAGAGCTGGTGTTGTCGGGGGCTACACGGTGGCTGAGAGTCTACTGACTCCATGTGCAGTAAGGATGAATTGTTGACTAACTTCAATTCTTTTAGTACCAGCAGATTTTTGCCTTCAACTTCCCGGCTCTGACGTTTTGTTTTATAGTGTCTTTGAGTCTCAATGAATTCAATTTGTAGAAATATACATAAATACAGAATAACAAAAAGTACTAATGTTAATGTGCCAATGATGCATATGATGCTGAAGTCCTGTTTACAGGCGTGTCAGGGTGGATAGTTTGCTCCCTCATGCTAGTACGCCGATCTAGCTTTGAAAATAATTAAAATAAAGTGCTGAAGTCAGAGGCAACCAGCCAGGAGGCACACCACAATAATCAGGATGCCACGCACACACACTAGAGGAAACATGCGAATCAGCCATGTGTACATGTGGATTAGCACCTGAGACAACATTCACGGTCCCAAATACAACATATCAAGGGAAAACTTTCGGCCAAGAAAACACGGGTGTAAGCCAACCTTTGCGGGTCACTGAGTAAAATACGACAGTTAAGTTCATGCTAGAGACAGCACTGCAGATATCGATAATCAATTTCAAGTGAACGAAAGAAGAAGAGGTAGAAGAAAAATAAGGCCCAAAATGTTGGACCAGATCCCATCCATGACATCAAAATGATTCCACAAGATAGAACTTCTTCTTCCTAGTGCCCACTGACTGTAAACTCTTGCAGAATGTTGGAGTTGTTCATCCACTTAGTGCCCACTGACTGTAAACTCTTGCAGAATGTTGGGGTTGTTCATCCACTTAGTGTCCACTGACTGTAAACTCTTGCAGAATGTTGGGGTTGTTCATCCACTTAGTGCCCACTGACTGTAAACTCTTGCAGAATGTTGGGGTTGTTCATCCACTTAGTGCCCACTGACTGTAAACTCTTGCAGAATGTTGGGGTTGTTCATCCACTTAGTGCCCACTGACTGTAAACTCTTGCACAATGTTGGGGTTG